AAAAAAAAGGTTGAGAAGTTAGAGGGTTGATACGTTGTGGGGCTGTTAACCAATGTCATAAAACAACATGTGTACTTCTGTTTCATGAGAAACTATTTGTTCTGTAAGCCTTCACCTGCAGTACAATTAAAAAAAAAAAATCGGTTCTTCAGTCTTTGCTTTTATGACAGTTACATTTCTTGGGTGTAAGTCATCTATTTTACAGAATGCCCTTCCACTGGGGTTTGCCTGATACTGCCACATGCTAAGATTCAAAGTTATGTGTTTTTGGCAGAAATATCACAGAAACAATACTGTATCCTTGGTGCATCACACCAAGAAGACAGCTATCAGTGAGTCCCACTGCAGGCGATATTAACTTTGATCACATGGTTAAGTGGGGTCTCCCAGGGTCTCCATGGTAAAGCTACTGTTTCTCCCTTTGTGATCGTAAGTAATTTATGGGGAGATACTTTTAAACCGTGTAAATGCCCTACTCCTCATAAAACATTCACCCACTAGTCTTAGCATCCATTGATGGGTCTTGCTAATTTGTTAGTTGACATTCTATAGTAAAGCAGTTTTCTCTTCCACTCTGTGTATTTATGGATTCTTACTCAATTCAACAGGTTTTAATCTATTTTATTTGATATTCAAATAAATTCAGATATAGCAAGGAGGAGTTTCCGCCAAGCTGGAGCCTAATGTCTTTTGGACATGCCCCCAACCACTGCTGCAGCATTTCTTACTTTCTGGCTCAAATGTTCCAATTTACTTCGCACCTGCCCTGCACTAGCCCTTTTCTCCAAGAAGCGCTGATTCCTTTTGGTGGGGATGGATTTTTAGAAACCAGGATCTGGGTTCAAGGTATGTTTGTTGCTAATGGAGTATCACTGCTTCTCTTTCTGTTTCAGCAGAAAAAGCTAGAGAGATATATAACATTTTTTATAAAGTATTGTTTTACACATACTTAACAGAAACATCCACACAAGAAAACTATTTAGTGAAAGGCTCTTAATTAATGGTTAACTTTTCCTTTTAAACTCTGTATAAAATTTTCTTCTACTATACAATAAGCTGTATGTATAAATCAATTTTATGAAAACCAAGTACACAAAAAACTGCAATTTGATACTTAAGGTTTAGAAGTCAGAGCTCTCTTTTCCAGTGATAAGAGTAAAGAGGATTTAACAAAGCTCAAGAGCAATTAACATTTGAAAAATAAAAGAATACAGAGCTTTATGCCATTTTTTCTTCTAATACTAAAAGAATACACTAAAATTTAATTAGCAAGTTGATCAGAAGGGAGAAATTAGTCTGCTTAAATACTAACTCCTTTGCCACTTCTTCACCCCCAAGGAACTACCAGAATACTCTGAGCGTGCAGAAGTCCTAGAAAACAGCTATTCTACCATTTTCACCCAACAAATAAAAGTAATTAGATCAATAATTTCATGTGGAAAAAAAGGAGGAGGAGGACTTCACAGACAGCCATGTGAACACCCTGGATGACCAGGCACAGCTGATCCAGACAGGCTGAAAACAAGCAAGTCAAGTGGGACAGACTACAACCTCCACGTTTGGTTTGTTTTCCTGAACTTGTTACAGGTTATCCAATTTTATCACAGACTCTCTTAACTAATCATCTAACCGAACCAGCATTTATTAAGTATCTATTCCCAGAACTGAGCTAGCGCTTCCTTTCAAATACACCTCCCTCTGTGACTTTACCAGGGAGTTCTTCCATCCCTCTTCCTCCTCACTCCACTTTGTTCCCTACCCTATGCAGACCTCACAGTGTATCACTCCAACCACCCTCTTGGCAGAATCTTCTCTACCTACCTGCCCTTCAAGCATACTTCTCTGCAAACAACTAACTAATCTGGAAGGCTGGCTGAGAATTCCCCAGGACCGTCCAATGACTGAAGCTCTCATGTTACTCTTACGTCTTCAGTGTCTCGTTCCTTCAGCTTATACAAGTGCTCAACTATCTCGTGACAAAACAACTAATTCATCTTTTTAAAAAGCCAAGCTTCTTAAAGAAAAGCTTTTCCTCCTCTTTGCTCAACTCACCACAATCTGGCTGTGATCCTGCACTGTTCCCTCGTCCTCAACCAAAAAAGTTAACTAATTCATGGCGACTCTCTCCCGTATCCCTCTATTCATCTTCACTCCAACTGCCTGATTTCAGCCCTCGTCTCTTCTCAAACGGACTGCTGCGGTCATGCCCTAATTCCTCTCCTCGCCTGTAATCTCACCTTCAAACTTTCCTCGTCTACTTCTCTCATGCACTGCTGCCAGAGTACTCTTTCTAAAACCCACAACAGAAGAATACTCTTTCTAAAACCCACAACAGATCACATTTCTCTCGTGTATAAAACAAATCTATGACTTCTCGGTGCCTAAAAATGAAAATCCAACTCTTCATCACAGAACAACGATCTCTGTTATCTGGTTCCTGTCGTACCTACTGGTGTACAACCCTCATCCCCTCGAGCCACCCATACTATTGGGCCCCACAAGCTCCAGTCTCTGTAACGACACACAAATCCCAGAACTGTGCTGTTGATTACAAACATCCTGTGCTCATGCTGCTCCATCTTCCAGATTCCCATGCTCCCTCCTGCCTCAGTTTACTTACTCATCTGTCAAGATCTAGCTCAAAAATTTCTTCTGTTAAGCTTTCTGACCCGAACAAGTAGTTATTCGGTCCTTTTGTGCCACCATTTCATACATGCGTTTATCTCTATTACAACGCAGCACACTTTCATGTAATTATTAACATGTCTGTCTTCCTTTCTAAACTGTGAGCTCCTTGAAGTGAATGGTTGCTTTTTATCCATCACTATATCCCTTGCGGAGCACTGGTGGTTCAGTGGTTAAGAGCTTGGCTGCTAACCAAGACATGGGCCATTCAAATTTACCAGCTGCTCGTTAGAAACTCTATGGGGCAGTTTTACTCTGTCCTATAGGGTCGCTATGAGTCAGAATCGACTCGATGGCAATGGGTTTTTAACAGGTATATCCCTTGTGCCTATCACCTGAAATACGTGCTCAATAAATACTGTCAAATGAAAATAAAAAAGTAAAATACAGAATAAGAGACAATAATTTTATGCAAATAACATAAGCCTTATGTTAAAACATGTCCCTACCTGATAACTAACTGTTCTCTTTCCATCACTTCCAGTCTGAGGTAAGGTCAAAGGTCCAGATACTATCCAAACATCTTCAAACCTTTCTGTCAGTTCTCGACAGTACATTTCTATTCTGAGGGAAAAAAATGGATGACATTTTCACAGACATTAACGCAGAAAAGAAGCAAACTATATCGAGTTCCTAAAAAAGACGCTAAGATTACTTGAGAAATTAAGTAAGAAAATATGGCACAAAACCTAAGTATATACACAATCATTTTCCCCAAGTTTATTTATTGCCCCACTATTTCAAAAACCACACACATCAACTATCTACATTTTTCTGAGTGCATTCAGCGCATACATGTTAGAACTGTAATTCTGTTTTCTGTGTTCTCTCTCAAACAGTTTTTATGCCACAGTTTTCAAATACACTTTTTATAAGAATTATGTCATTCCAACAAGGTGATGTACTTTTTTATTTAACCATGCTCACTGTGGGACAATTGAGTTTATCCTAACACATTTTTATATAACGCAACACTGTATGAATTCCTTAAGATAAATCTCCAGGGCCAGAATTATTAATATTTTAATGACTCTCAATCACATATAAAATTAACATTTTTAATAGGGTTGTACCAATTTACTCTGTAAGCTCCAAAATACAATACAGAAGTTTCCCAACAACCTTTACAACATTGGTATTTATCATTTAAACACCGTTTTCACTAATTTACCAGATAAAAATGACAAGTGACTAGTTTTAATATACACTTTCTTATACCGTGGTTGGAAGAGATTTATAAATGACAGATGCACGTCATCATTCCACCATTTCCCTATCTCGAAAACAGAATCAACAGCATTACTTCCTATAGCATACCTGCCTAACTGCAAGGTAAAGACCTCCTCCCACCCCCCTCCCAATTTATCTCTTAGGAAAGGAAAATGTTAAATGCTTCCACAGGTATGAAATCAGCAAAATCCAAAATATGGAAGGAAACTCTCCCAGGCACATATCCCAGCTCTTCAATAATTTGTAAGGGAAAAAAAAATAAGGGAGAAGACGGGAAAACCTACAGATTAAAAGGGACTGAAGAGACACAGCAAGCAAATCTATGTGTGGACTTAGTTTGAATCCTGATTGAAACCAAACACCAACCAAAAAAAAAAAAAAATGGAGACAATCAGGGAAATTTGAACACTGATAACTGATAATAAGGAAAAAAATTACTATCAAATTTAGGCCCAATAACAATACTACAGTTATATTTTTTTAAAAATTCTTCTCTTCTAAAAATACATACCAAAGTATTTATGGATGAAATTATGTATACGTGATCTGCTTAAAATAATCGGAGGAGGGAGCAAAGGGAGCGTAGGTAGATGGAACAAATGGCCATGACTGATAATTCCTCTGGTCTTTTTTTAGTCTGAGGTGCTCTCTTAATTATTTTAAACCACAAAGCATTACTGGGGGAAACCTAACAGCTTGGAATAACCTCAATCAGCACAAGTTTTGTGAAGAGATCATCTGATACAACTGGTTAAATGTCAGAAAAATATAGAAACCCAAATGACTTTATAGTTAAGTTCTATCAAAAACTGGTTAGTGGTTATGTTTAATCATACCAAAACTTGAAAACAAATCTTAGAGACTCTGAGATACAAGCAGAAAAAATTATCCTGTCCACTGGACGCACTCAAAAACCTGTTACAGCCTCAGTTATTAACAGGAATGATATTTTGAGTAGTTCCTTCCAGAACCTGCCTTTTGACTAGTGGTAAACAAGACCAAAATGGCTGGCTAGGTTTTAAAGTCCGTACTCCCATCGAAGTCTATACTCTAGAAATAAAGCAAAGAAAACTGGTCCAGAGTACTTACCTTCAGAAGTGATACCTTTTCAGTAAGAAAGATAGAAACAGTGATAGGCACACTAGTACAGTCTCCTGCCATATCATTCACTCATCCACAGAACCACATTTTAAAAACTCTCACCCCTTACCTGTTCCAGTATCCGGAATTATTATCAAAATTCTGAGGCACAATATTGGAAAGGTAAAAGGTTTCCGCCATGGCTTTCTGTGAAGAGAAACAAAAATAGTTACTTCCACTAAAATTCCTTCACCTTTTAGAAATCTTTTACAAAGCAGACACACAGAACTAGCTCCTTATTATTCATACACGAGCTCCAGGTAACTGCAGCAACTACTTGTCTGGACATAAGAAAGCCACAGCTATTCCAGGACATAAAGCTCTATCATTACTCAAAATAAGGATGAAAACAAAATACATAGTTTGGTGTGCTGGTTTTCTTTATAACGTCTAACATCCAAACCTATAATACAGACTATAAAAACTAGAAGTTTCAAATATAAAGCTAAAGGGTAAATCCTGTTTTAAGCATAAAAATTCCGGAAGTAGTTTCTGAATGAAGTTCAACTTTCAGGAATTTTAAGTAGTACAGTGCAAACATATTAGTTCAAAAGTGGCAGAGAAAAATTCCTTGTTCTTCTGAATTTCTGGCCACTATGCATCCATCCGGGAGCCCTGGTGGCACAGTGATTAAAGCGTTCAGCTGTCAACCAAAAGGACGGTGGTTCGAACCCATCGGCCACTCCACAGGAGAAAGATGTGGCAGTCTGCTTCCGTAAAGATTTTCAGCCTTGGAAACTCTTACGGGGCAGCTCTACTCTGTCATACTGGGTCGCTATGAGTCAGAATCGACCTGACGGCAATGGGTTTGGGGTTTTTTTGGTATGCATCCACCTTACACTTCTGACCCATAAACACAAGGCTGCATTTGATTGTATTTCCTTTCACTGATCCATTCTAACTGCCAAAGGCATCAAATATCTTCCCTTCAAGCAGTGACTCTTAGCCTTGGGTGCACATTGGAATAACCCAAGGAACTTTAAAAATACTGATGGCTGCGTCTCACCCCCAAAGTTTCTGACTTAATTGGCTTGGATTGCAGGTCTGGGCATCAGGATTCTTTAACACTTCTCCAGGTGATTATAAGGGGTACCCAAGGTTAAGAATATCTTCATGACAATAATCACCAACAGTTCACATAATAAATAATACACATTACTTTTCTCACTCACACCCCATAAAAAGGACAGCCTTATACCACGATTCTACTCCTCTGAACATAGCTCACCAGACAAAAAGGAGGCACCTGACCCAAAGGGAGCCCACCCATAGAGGGGAATGAACTAGAAAGCAAAACCCACTGCCGTCAAGTCAATTCCAAATCATAGCGACCCTACAGGACAGAGGAGAACTGCCCCATAGGGTTCCCAAAGCTGTAATCTTACAAAGCAAACTGCCACATCATTCTCCCACAGAGCTGCTGGTGGGTTCAAACCACCAACCTCTGGGTTAGCAGTTGAGTGCTTAGCCACTGCACCACCAGGGCTATGAACTACAGACTCAGGAATCAGAACTATGAGAGGCAAAAACTGGTATAAGTTGATTGCAAATAATATAGCTTCAGAGCCTAGGATGGCCAGTGTCATGTTGGGTCATGTGCAAGATGGGGAAACCAATCAGCAGAAAGATAATTAAAAACAAAGAGCTGGAGAAATAGAGACTATGCACTCCAGTTAACAATAAACACCCCAAGTGCTCAGATTAGGGTTTCTAAACACCATTCCCACTAAAAAGAACCAAAATTCCTTGAGGATATGGTGGATTCTGGAGACAGGGAAGGTGTAAGGTGAGCCTGAAAATTTTGTTGGGCAAGGAAGCAAGTGAGCGTTCAAAGACTGATAAGGACACGTCAAAACGACACAGGAGCTGGCTTACAGGGGTGTGCACTGGCAAACACTGGGGTACCTTAAGAACAAAAATATTAACAGTAATGGGTTATAGCACACTGAATTAAAAAAAAAAAAATTCATGAGCCCAAGATCATTAAAAAAAAAAAAAAAACGGAGTGAGGACTAGAGAATACAGAATGTCAGCTAAATAGATACAGAAAGAATGGCAGAATTAGGAAAATTCAATATTTTTTTAATTACCAACATTAATAACAAGACAACAATCATTAATGGATGCTAAAAGCAGAGTTCGTAGATTATGGTGTATTTACTGTAAATTTGATTTTCAGATTGTTATCTTTTTCTAAGGGAGAAACGTAGCTTTCTATTAGACAGATCTAACGAACACCTTACTCAAGTGATCAAACATGACATTAGTGACAATGGAAGAACGGACAGACGGGCCTCCTGACAGAATGCAGTGAGAAGAACACAACATCACCTATCCAGTGTTCTTGCTAAAAATTATTAATCTGCATCTAAAAATAACGAGGAAACAAACAAATCCAAATTGTGGGATAGTCTATAAAGTGACTGGCCTGAGCACTTCAATAACAATGTCATGAACAACGTCATTTCTTCTCTTCTCTGGCAGGGAAATTATTTGAAGGAAAATAGAGACATGACAACTAAATGTACCATGTGACTCATGGTTGGATTCTGGATCAAAAGTAGCTGTAAGGGTCATAATTGGGACAATTTGGGAAATCTGAATATGAACTGTATACTGGATAAGATTATTATATGAATGTACAAAAATGCATTTGTACACATTTCTTGGATGCCATGACACTCTTGTCATGCACACAAATATCCTCATTCTTTGACGATACACGCTCCTGAGCAACCTAGTTAGGAATGAAGTGTTACTATGTCTGCAACTTACTGCCAAGAGTTTTTTTAAAGTAAATGTATCAGAATGTGTTTGCTGTACTATTTTTTCCACAGGTCTAGAATTTTTCAAAATAAACGTGAGCGAGCAGCTTCAGCAACCAGTGGCTTCTCAGTTCTCTTTTACACGATATCTAGTGTCCCTTGTTTAGCCTGTTTAAAAATGTTTCAGCATCTGACTGAAAAAAAAAAATTTAAAGTCACGAAGGAGGACAGGAAATGAGTATGGAAAGTCTCCAGTTTGAAGGTCTGGCTCCTAGGTGTTTAACCCCCAAGTCCCCTGGTACACCTATCACCACCCACACCCCCACTCCTCCCCTCAAAAATGCCTACAGTTGAGAATTTGTTATCTCCTGCTGCAGCCATGTGTCCTCGCGACCACCCACTTCCAAGATAGTCCTCATTGAGGGCACTGAAGACTGGAGGGATGCTGGGGTCAGGCCTGAATTTACAATGTTTTCTGTCTGCATCACCTGAAGAAAAACACATAAAATGGGTAAGTTATCAGCGGACAAATACCCTGATAAATTCTCTAAGCAAGGCAAGCTGGCTGCTGCTGGCTGGTATCTCTGCTAGCAGCTAGTACTTAGGGATAGTATGCATGTCTCAAATTCCTAGGATATTTCAGATACTCCATCTGAATTTAGAAAAGGAGTAGCCTGGGAAAGAATGCTTTTCACACAATGTAGCCATCTCATATAATTTTTATCCTGACCTTTCGAGCTAACAATAAAAATCTCCTAGATAGTGTTTAAGTAAAAGCAACGACCAATCAAACAGATGAGCTGTAAAAAAAAAGCTGCACTATAAACTCTTCCCTTCCATAAAGATCCCCATGTATTGTATTTAGTACAACTGTACTGTGAAGTGTTTATATGTACTGAAACAATGGATATATATAGACTAAAAACAATTTGTTCTGGTAGGCACAGCCCGGGGATGGGAGGGGAGAGGTGTCTGATATCTCACTTACTGCCTCTTCAGCCAACAACAAAACAAACATTTAAGTTATGAGCTCAACCCAGAAATTCCTGAAATAATTATTTGAGTACTACACAGAAGAAATCTCAATTTTTACTTATTATCTAATAATACCTCCAGAATGGTTTGTCACAAATGACATCAGCAAATTATTACATTTTCTACTGCCATTAGGACAGGCCTAGTTACAGAACAAAAATTATGAGGACAAATGGAATATACTCAGACTGCTCCCCAAAGAAGTGTGAAATGGAGATCAATGAAGTTACTGATTCCAATGTCATATAATTCAGCCCAGAAAAGTTTAAAGTCATGGGATCCCAAGGTTCAGAGTAAAGCAACTAATACTGTTGTTGTCAGCTGCCATGGAGTATTCTAACTCATGGCGACCCCACATGTAGAGAGCAGAACTGTTCCATTAGGATTTTCAAGGATGTGAGCTATCAGAAGCAAACTGTCAGGACTGTCTTCTGAAGGTGCCTCTGGGTGGGTTCCAACCGCCAGCCTTTCAGCTAGCAGTCTAACTCTAATTGTACCACCCAGGAACGTCTAAGTATCTAATAGCTAGCTTTTCATAATAACTTCATAAAGAATAAAAATAACTGGTAGTGCAGAATTATCAACACACTGGAGTCACTTCCTTCTATTCCTAGTACTCACTGCCCTTGAAAAGCCATTTGTGAGAACTTCCAAAGGCCTAGGATGAAAATGCTTTCCTTGAGAAACGACGTGAATTTGCTTCTGTCAGGGTCTGGAGGCATTTCAGTGGAGGATATTAATCCAAGTTCAGGGTTTAAGGTTTCCTCATCTACCCAGGCTAAGTGGATTTGGGTTATGAGCCTGCATGATAGTCTGTGGCCTCGGCTACTCTAAAACAGGCTTTTTATTTTCCTTTTTGACCCTTCTCTGCTCAGTGCCAAGGCAACCTCTGTGTAGTTCCTTATGGTAGGCAGCAGGGTAAGTTCTGGTTCACCCTTCCCAAGGGTGTAGCTCTTTCTGGAGTTTTAGCTTAATGTGGGGAGGGTTTCCTATGAGACAACCTTCCTTGGGTGAGCCCAAGTAGAGCAAAGAAGAAATAATCTGTGGACCATATATCAAATTAAAAGCCAAATTACAAAATACTAATAAAACTTACAACTATGCCAAAAGGTAATATTCCTGAACTCCTACATATCAATTAAAAAAATAATATCCCAACTGAAAATCAGATAAAGAGTAATTCATAAAATGTTAACCCTCACTGGTAATCAATAAATGCAAATATACCCAACTACTAAATTGGTAAAGCTCAATAATGCTCACTGTGTGTGGGTGAGGGTTGGGGGAGACAGGAAAAACAGTGATGTAGGAGTGTAAATCAGAATATCTACCTAGGAACCAAAGAAACCACTCCAACATTATGACAAGATCTGGTCATCTTAACTACAGGATCTACCGACACATAAGCACACATGAACAGGTGTACGCACCTGCCTACCTCTCCAGCTTCGTCTGGCATCACCTTCTCCCTCGCTCACCAAGCTCCAGCCACTCTGGCCTTCTTTTAGTTCCTCAAAGGAACAAAACTCTTCTCCACCTTGTGGCCTACAAAATTTAGAGCAAGGAAGATTGTTGTTAATATTCTCAAGCTTCTTTACATCTCGGCACGTGCAGAAAACGCTGATGTTTGTATGGCTC